TTGGGATTTTAATTTCTTAAAAGGCATCTGAGCTGGCCCAAGAAGGTGGCATCTGAGTAAAACCCTGGAGGAGATGAGAGGGTTAGGGTTAGGTTTAGGGTTCCTTTTGGGTATTTTGTCTCAGCAATGAGAAAAAAAAGACATCTCCCACCCCAAAATTCTGTAGGCTGCCGGCTCATGGCCCATTCCAGCATGACAGCCAGTAATGGCTGGCCAAATTCTTCGGGCATCCCATCACTGTGACACTGACACGTAAGTTCCCTCTTTCGTGTATACAGTTCCCTGTGATTAAGGCCTATTAGGACAATCCAGGATTACCTACTTACCTCAAGATCACCTTACCTCATAAATTAGTCACATTGAAGTCCCTTTTGCCATGTAAGGTGACATTCCATTTCCGAAGATGAGGACAGGGACATCTTTGGGGAAGTATTTTGCCTTTCACAATATTCAAATAATTCAGCACAGTTATTAAATCTTTTTGGAACCTGAATCCAGAAGGACATTGGTTTGGTGGCAAGAGGAACAGCAACAGCAAATACTTGTGTCAGGAATTTCTCTAAGCATTCTATGCAAGCTGTCTCATTTAATTCCCTCATAACTCTTGGTGCTAAATACTATTATCATGGCTGTGTTGGAAAGGAGTAAAGTCAGGGACAGAGTGTTAAACAGTAAGGTAGAAAGCAGCAGAGTGGATTTAGACTTAGGCGGTTGGGTTTCGAAGTCCGTACGCTTAGCACCATGCAATTACTGGGTGGATAAGTGAAGGGGCCACATGTAGTTTTCTTTAGTCCTGGGTTCATGCCTACATCTTGTGACTTCTCTGAGCTTTAATTTCATTATGGTTAAACTGCAATAGTGAGGCATCTCCTGCACTTTACAGGGCTGCCGTGAAGGCCCAGTGAGAGGACACAAAACAGGGCCCGCAGAGCCCTTCTGCCACACGGAACTGGCAGAAGCAGGACTGCGGCTCCGGTTTCCTGGCAGCCAGGCTGAGGCAGGCTCCTTCCATCCCACAGTAGTAACTGGAGCAGTTATAGATTCCACTCATCAAATGCAGGGTTTTCCCTTTACTGACCTCCTGCTCTGTAACAGCCAGCAGCAAAGCTTTGGCTTTGCAATTCAGTGGACACTAAGAATGTCACCAAGTCTCTGCTGATCCCATTACCAAATCCCAACAGGAGATAGTGCTTCTTAGCTAGAACAAGGTAAAATTTACAAATGATATTTCATTTCAGTTATAGGTCAAAGAGAAAAGGGGAAGCATTTCAGAAATTGACAGAAAAGGAAGCCTCATGGTATTTACTTAGGAAAAATCACCTCCCCCATGACTTTGCCTCTTCTCCATCCTCATTCTGCCATGTCACTGTCCCCTTCCATTGGCCCTGCACTTCTCTTTAGTTGACCCGGGATTAAAAAAGCAGAATTTTAGCTATGGAGTACAGCATTATTTTTTGCTTTGAAATTCAAAAGTAATTTTAAAAAAACAGGAAAGAAGGAAGATTAGCTCTATCAGATATTAAGACATACATTGACCCCTCTTATCCCCATGGTATATATTTCAAGAATCCCAGTAGATGCCTGATAGCTGGGTAGTATCCAGCTCTCTATGAGCTGTATTTTGTACCTATACGTATGTACCTCTAATAAAGTTTAACTTGTAAACTAGGCACAGTAAGAGATTAGTGATAACCAATAATAAAACAGAATAATCGCTGTATTAATCACACAAGCACTGTGATATCATGTTAGTCAATCAGCTACTAAGTGACTAATGGATGGGTAAAGTATATAGCATGGGTATACTGGGCAAAGGGATGATTCATGTTCGATCTTGGGTGAGATGGAACAGAATGGAATAAGATGTCATTAGTACTCAGAATGGAGCACAGTTCAAAACTTAGGAATCATTTATTTCTGGAATTTCACACTTAATATTTTTCCATACTATAGCTGACTGTGAGTCACTAAAAATATAAGAGGCAAAATTGTAGCCTCTATGGAACTAAGAACAGAAAACAATGGAATGAGAAGGACAGCCCAGAAACAGACAAGCAAGGCCAACGGGTAAAGACACCATCACACATTGGTTGGGGAGAGATGGACTGTTATGTGGGAGCTCCCCCAAAACTGGCTCACCATCTAGCAAAAATAGTATCATATTCCTGTTAGCTATTGGAGGTGAACTCCAGATGGATTAAGACTTATCAGTAAAAGTATGAAGGCCAGATGGAAGAAAATGTAGGAGAATGATGATTGTTTTAGTTATTTTTCTCATTTTGTGAGATAAAATACCCAATACTCAAAAGTTAAAGGATGAAAGGCTTATTTGGCTCACAGTTTGTAGAAATGTCAGTCCATAATCAAGGCAGGGTGGCATGGAAAGGGGCACGGGAGAGGAAAAATAATCTATGGCAAGAATTCAGGTGAGAGCACATTAACCCTCTGTCTGTCCCTTATATTTTATGCAGGCCACCCACCTCAGAGTAGGTGTGTCACTCCCACACAGCCGAGAAAGAAGGAAACTGATGGGTTATGGAGTCCCCAGGGCTTAGTTTCACTCTGTTTGGTTTTACATTGTCCTCTGGGATGGCCATAACTATGCCAAACCAGTCAGTGGACTGATGTGGTAATCCTTGAGTCCAGCTCTGCACCCTCTAGATCCAGCCACGTCTGAAAAAGCCTCAGACCACATGAGGCTTTCAGGGGACATCTAAACATGAGCCTTAACCATCATGGATGAAACTTATGGGTTAAAGATTCTTAAATAAGACCCAAAAATATAGTCCACAAGACTAAAATTTGGTGTATTTGACTATATTAAAATTATGTAAGAGTTTTCATACTTTGAAGGAAAGCAAAGAGTAAGCTAACAGGATGTATGAAAGGTTGGGAAAATATAATGTTCAAGGCTGAGAAGGGATTAATATTTAGAATATGTAAGAAACGTCAATTCATTCAGAATAAAAAATTGTAGGAAATCTAGCAGAAAATTAGATCAAGGATATAAATGGCTAATTTATGGAAGGAAATACATCTCTAAGATTATGTGGAAAAAGTCATTATACTGATCATTCAAAATATAGAAATGAAAATTACAATGCAATACAATCTTACTATCAGATTAATATAAATTAGGACATTAGATAATGCCAGATTTTTTTTTAAATGCCAGATGTTAACATAGGTAGTGGGGAAATGGGGATGTTCCTACTTTCACAGTGTTTGGAAATGGAACCTGGCAAAGCCATCTTGGAAGCCAAGGTGAAGCCAAACAGAGGGCAACTAAGCCCTGCGGACTCCCTGACCCAAGCACCCTGTTTCTTCCTCTTCATCTGTCTGGGACACAGCTAATGCTTATTCCAGTGCTGGCTGTGACAGCAACGAACTGCTGGCAACCTAACTGTCCATTTTTGAGGAACCAGTGAGTACAATATGTTAGACACACAAATCAAATTCTATCAGTGGCAGAATTAATGAACACAGGGCCAGTGACATTTCTGTTATGGTTTGCAACTCAAATGTCCTCCAAAGACCCCGAGTGGAAGGCTTGGTTCTCAACCGGTGAAGTTATTGAGAAGTGGTGGAATGTTAGGAAGGTGGGGCCTAGTGGAAGGAGGTGGGGCCTTCGAAGACACCCTTGAAGCGGGCCCTGTCCTGTCAAAGCCAAGAGATAGAACCTTCCTCTGCCAAAATGTACTGTGCGCACCTCTGAAACCATGAGACAAAATAAATCTTTCTTCTTTTAAATTCTCTCAGGTATTTTGTCACAGCAAGAGAAAACTAATACAAAGTCTCACACATTATGGTGAAGAAAAAACTAGGAAAAGGATGAGTTCTTGCCACAAAACCATTCATTTATATTTAAAATAGATACATACACTCAAATCATTAATTATCTTTAGAAATAATACATATGCATGCCCTGGGACACATTTTAAATACACTGGAGGATGCCTACACAGGGAGGGATAAGAGGAAGGGGTGTGCAGAGAAGGAATGAGTGGTGAGAGATGGTTCTTGTCAACTCTAAGGAGCTGAAGAATAGGAACAATATTTAACTCTCCTTCCCGGAGTCCAAAACAAATTGCTGCAGCTTCCTTCACTGCCTCGCCTTCTTAACACAACCAAGTGCCGGTGACTCAGCCTGCCTGCCCCAGCAAGCTCTTGTCCATACAGCGCCGAAAGGCTTTCTCCTCCAGGCCCTCGCTTCCAGCTCCCTACGCGCCATTCTGCCCACTTCTCACATCCCAAGCACGCCCACCTTCACCCTTATTTTTCCAGTGAATGCTTATCGACCGTTTAGGTGTCCTCTGTCCCAGCAAGCCTTTTTTTTTTTTTTTTTTTTTTTTTTCAGAACAGGGGATTGAACTCAGACCATTGCGCTTGCCAGGGAAGCGCTTATTCCACTGAGCCATCTCCCCGGCCAGCAAGCCTTTTGGGGACGCTGTTCTTCTATCAAATGTCACACCTCTCCCTCACCACCCGGGTCTTAATTTGGTAGACATCCTTCTTCCAGAGCTGGAGTAGAGCAAGGGAGGTCCTCGCATCCGTACTCCGTCAGCTGAGCTTGCGGATTTAGGAGCACCTGGAAAGTTATGGCAAGTGAAGCTGGACCCGAGCCCACCGCCTTCTTTCCTGCTTCCCGTTGATTGGCTCAGCCTCCTCCGCCCAGCACCCGCCCCCAGCCCACCCCCGCCCGGGGGGGTGGGGGGAAGGCAGGCACGATGCTCTGCGCAAGCGCCAGTAGGCGGGGCAAGCTCGGCGGGGGCGGGGCGAGGGCAGAGGAAGGCAAAGAGGAGCCCGCGAGGGGCGCGTCGTTTTGCGCGGCAGTTGCGTCCGGACTCCACGCACGAGCACCCTGCAAGGGACGGGGAGGGGCTGAGGCGGC